GGGGTAATGAAGGAGGGGGGTGTAAATGAAGGAGGGGGGAGTAAGTGAAGAGGGGAAGAGTAAGTGAAGAGGGGAAGAGTAAGTGAAGATGGGAAGAGTAAGTGAAGATGGGGGGGTGTAAATGAAGGATGGGGGTGTAAGTGAAGATGGGGGGAGTAAGAAGATGGGGAGTAAGGGAATGGGGGGTGCTAATGAAGGAGTGCTGCAAATGAAGGATGGGGTGTAAATGAAGGATGGTAAGTGCTGAAGATTGGGGAGAGGAAGATGGGGGAGCAAGTGGTGATGGGGGAGTAAGGAAGATGGGGGGTGTGCAAAATGAAGGAGGGGGGGAGTGAAGATGGGGGGTAGAAAGAAAGAGGGGGAGGCGAAGATGGGGGGAGTAAGTGAAGGGAGGGAGTAAGTGAAGGAGGGGGGAGTAACAGAAGGTGGAGGAGGGGAGTAAGAAGAAGAAGGGGGGTTTGAAAAACGGGGGGTAAGAAGAACACAAGGAGGAGGGGGAGAGTAAGAGTGAGGAGAAGGGGAGATGAGGAGAAGGGGGGGACTGAGAAGAACACAGGGAGGGTGGGTAGTGAGGAGAACACAGGGAGGGTAGGTGGTGAGGAGAACACAGGGAGGGGGAGGTGAGGAGGACACAGGGAGGAGAGGACACTACGCGCACACACACACACAATGCATCCCTACACACACAGAAACACAACATGCTTCCCTTACACACAAAGAAACACACAATGCATCCATTACACACAAACAATGCAACACTTACACACAAAGACAATGCATCCTTTGCACACATACACAGAAACACATAATGCAAACACTTACACACACACTGCTTTTCTTACATACACACAGAAACACAATGCATCACTAACACACACTCAATGCACACACTTACAGACACACATCTTGCATCCCTTATGCATACAAACACAGATTCACACAATGCATCCTTTACACACAACCAGAAACACACAATACATCCCTTATACACAAATACACACTGCTTCCACTACACACAAACACACTGCATCACCTGCACAAACTGGTATCCCTATACACTACATACCATAAGCACACATATTCGATCCTCTACAACAGGGGTTCTCAACCCAGTCCTCAGGACCCGCCACTAACTAGGGATTGGGGATTACCTGTGTCCCGTGTTTAGAAAAAAGGGAAAAACAATCTTAGACACACCCAGGTAATCCCTAAACCCTGACTGGTAGGGGGTCCTTAGGACTACCGCTGAGAACCCCTGCCTCCAATAACACATAACACATCCCCACACACTCCACCCCCGTGAGCGAACTCATGGGTGGGTGGAACACAGCAAGTGATTCTATGAGTGGGCTCCTAGGGCATACTCACTGCCAGGCCCCAGCTCCAGACCTGAGCTGTAAGGCCCTTCCAAAATGGAGCTACAGCTTCCAACATTGAATTTTGTGACCACAGTTGCAAACAGCCTCCAGAGATCCTGTTCTACACCAGACCAGTGGAGCCAAACTGCAGCCCATCATCAACCTCATCTGCTTGTAAGTAGGCAATCTAGTATATTATTAGTGACACTAATCTATAATTTTCATTACATTAAAGGGACACTATAGTCCCCAGAACGACTGGAGCTTAATGAAGTGGTTCTGGTATCTATAGCCGGTCCCTGCAGGCTTTTTAATGTAAACACACACTGTGGGCAGCATTGGCGTTAGTTCGTATGGCAGCTCATATAGGTGGGGCATTGTGATGTCACATGGGGGGCGGCAAATACAGCTGTTCCCCATGCAGCCACAGGTGCCACTGTGCTGAGAGATTGTGATTACTCTTCACTTCCTCCCAGCTTACAGAGTAGCGCATGGGAGAGAGAGGGGAGGAGGCATGATTTAATCTTACAACAAATCCAGTAAGCAAATCTTTATAAATTTGGATGGGATCAGATCTGTTTCCACAGTTTATTGGTGTTTACTCTGCTGTCTGTATTAATATTGAGGGATTTCTAAGTAGTAACATCAGTGTGTGTCAGCAGGGCCATGCGTTGGGGTGTGCACGCTGTGCAGTCACGCAGGGTGCCATCACAACAGAGGCGCCCGGCGGACAACACAGCTCACAAGTTGGGGACACCAGCCTATTCAATTTAAACGATTCGCTGGTGGTCCACTGGTGCGCACCAGCAGTAGGTGCAGTCAGATTATAGCATCTCCCTCGTGGTTCCGACGCTCAGTTAGTGAGTCAGAGCACAGGCTCAGAGATTCTCAGCCTGCGCTTTGACAACATTGAAAGTCAGAGCCGCGAAGGAGCGGGTATGGCAAAGAGCTACTGATTAGCATAACCTCAATATCCGTTATAAAACCAGGAAAAGGTGGGCACCATTGCACTGATTTGGTGGTGCAATGGGCCTCTTGACTGGTTTTGCCCCCCAGGCCTAAGGCTGCCAGCCCTCCCCTGACCTCACCCCTTTGTCAGTCTCTACATTGGCTTCCTGTAATTAACTCACCAGTCTGGCTTGGTCCCTCCCTACCTCTTGATTAGGTGGTTTAATTTTTCAGCCTCGTTTAGTCACAACAGCACGGATAGTGATGGGAAGGCTAGGGAGAAAAATTGTATCTGATTAGTTAAGAAGAGTTAAAGAAGGTTGGTTGATCGGTTCCAATTTGGTTTCTTATAATCTTGGTATAATGTTGGTGGGTTTTGAGCTCGTTGGTGGTTCAGAACCTCGGGGGGTGTAGGCAGGGCTGGTGCAAGTATTTCCTCTGCCCTAGGCAAAGATCGATTTTGCCCCCCCCCTCATGTCACTCACTCACTGACAGACACACACACTGGCAGACACACACAGACACACACACACCGAAACTCACTGACAGACATACACTCTCACTGAGACACACACACACACACAGACACTCACTGACAGACATACACTCACTGACATAAAAAATCCACTCTCTCACTCGCTGACAGACATTCACTCACTCACTCACTGACAGACAAACAGACACACACAGACACTCACTGACATACATACACTCACTCACTGATAGATAGATACACACACACACACACACACACACACACTCATTGACATACATACACTCACTCACTCACTGACAGACACACACACACTGACAGAAATACACTCACTCACTGACACACACCCACACACACACACTGACAGACATACACTCACTGAGACATACACACACACACAGACACTCACTGACAGACACACACACACGCACACACACACAGACACTCACTGACTAACAGACAGACATTCAAACACACCCTCACTGACAGACATCCACTCTCTCACCCACTGACAGACATTCACTCACTCACTCACTGACAGACAGACAGAGACACACACACACACACACACACACACACAGCCACTCACTGACATACATTCACACACTGATAGATAGACACACACACACACACTCATTGACATGCATACACTCACTCACTGACAGACACACACACACACACACTGACAGAAATACACTCCCTCCCTCACTGACACACACACACACACACACAGAAACTCACTGACATACATACATACATACATACATAAACTTACTGACAGGCACACACGCACACATACTCACTCACCGACAGGCACACACACAGGCAGACCCTCAATGACAGACAGACACACACACACACACACTGACAGTCAAACACTCACACACTCACTGACACACACACATAAACACAGGCAGACACTCACTGGCATACATAAACTCAGTCACTGAAAGACAGACACACACACAGACACACACACTCTCACTGACAGTCAAACACTTAAAAACTCACCTCCCTGGGATCCAATGTGGTGCAGCTCCTCACTCCTCCAGCGCGCTGTTTAGTATGCTGTGGCCAAAATGATGTCATATTCCGGCTCCCGGCATCACATAGGGCGCGCGAGGGAGCAGGGCCGGTGCTTGGATTTTTAGGTACCTAGGCGAAGATGCATTTTTACGCCCCCCCCCCTCAAAAAAAAACATCTTCACCTATGTGCCTCTTAACCAGCCCCTCTCCCCTCCCTGACCATTAGTAATCCCTTCCCTTCCCTGTCCCTTAGTGTTCTTCTCCCCCCCCCTTTTCCCTGTCTCTTGGTGTTTCTCTCCCATTCCCTCCCTGTCCCTTAGTGCACCCCACACCCCTTTAGTGGTCACACTCCCCTTCCTGGTGTGCCTCCTACCTCTATTGTTGCATTGCCGAGTGGAGCAGATTCCCTAAAGGAGCTTCAGTTTTCTGTACCCGGCCGGACTGACAGGGAGTGCTCTCTCTGTGAGCACCTCCTGTCAGTCTGGCCAGGTACAGGAAACAGAAGTTCCTGTACCGCGCTCTGCTCCGCTACACTCTGTACACACCGACAGTCACACACTCAATGACAAACACACAGACGTCACTGACAGACACAGTCTCATTGATCTGACACACACTCATTCATTGACACTGACAGACCCACACTGATTGACACTCATTGACAGACACACTGATAGTCACACACAGACTCAATGACAAACATACTCTCACTGATTTGACAGACACACACTCATACACTGACAAACACACTCATCATACACTGACAGACACACTCATACACTCACATGCACACACACTCATACAATCACTCACAGACACACACACTGTCACTCACACACACACACTGTCACTCACACACACTGTTGCTCACAGACACACACACACTGTCGCTCACAGACACACACACACTGTCACTCACAGACACACACACTCTGTCACTCACAGACACACACATACTGTCTCTCACAGACACACACACACTGTCACTCACAGACATACACACACTGTCACTCACAGACACACACACTCTGTCACTCACAGACACACACACACTGTCACTAACAGACACACACACTCTGTCACTCACAGACACACACACACTGTCACTCACAGACATACACACACTGTCACTCACAGACACACACACTCTGTCACTCACACACACACACACACTGTCACTCAGACACACACACTCTGTCACTCACAGACACACACACTGTCACTCCCACAGACACACACACTGTCACTCACAGACACACACACTCTGTCACTCACAGACACACACACACACCTGCTCACTCAGGCCTACACTGTATCACTCACACACACACACACACACTGTCACTCACACACACTGGCCGACTCCACAGACACACACACACTGTCACTCACAGACACACACACTCTGTCACTCACAGACACACACACACTGTCACTCACAGACACACACACTGTCACTCACAGACACACACACTGTCACTCACAGACACACACACTGTCATTCACAGACACACACACACAGTCACTCACAGACACACATCACATACATTCACTAATTATTTTTATAACTACATATTTTCCACCCAGCCTCCCTACCTGGAGAGCTGGTGTGGATGATGGATCGGTCCCTGGGGCTGCTGGGTGGCGTGCGGCAGTGCTGTGATCAGGCGCGCGAGGGAGCTCTAATCTCCACCCTCTCTGCTCCCTCGCGGGCTGCCTACTGATGCTGCGGGATGACGTCATATTCCGGCTCCCGCGGCATCAGCAGACAGCGCGCAAGGGAGCAGAGGGTGGAGATTAGAGCTCCCTCGCGCGCCTGATCACAGCACTGCCGCGCCGGAGGTCGAGATGGTGGCCGGGCAGGAGGGAGAGCTTCCCTCCTGCCGGTCACTGAAATATTGCGTCCCCAGAGCCCGTGCGCCCTAAGGCGGCCGCCTGTGCCGCCTTATGGACGCGCCGGCCCTGCGAGGGAGGAGTGAGAGACTGCAAGAACAGCCTCCCTCGCCGCCTTCTTTCTCCGCTCCCCTCTCCTCTGGACACTGGTAGGTGCCTGCTCTTCCTTACCTAGCACACAGCTTCGGGGGCGACCTGAGGTGGTCAGATGGCCACCTCCTGGCCCCCCTGTGACAGGGATCCACTCGGCGCCCCGTCATCTTGAGGATCGGCCCGGTGCTGGGAGAGGGCGGCTCGAGAGCAGCTCGCCCAGTGCTGTGGACCCAGACAGGGGCAGGCAGCCCACCAGAGATTATTCCGGTGAGCGCCCCCAGCAGGCCGGCGCCCTAGGCGAATGCCTTGTTCACCTAACGGTGGTGCCGGCCGTG